TATTAAATGGAGTCTAAGTGTTAACAGATTGTAGAATTTTGTGTCTTAAGTCATAAATCTGGTACTTGTGGTTCAGCATAGCTCAACATCTCAATTCACTTTGGCTAAAAATGTCCACTGATGCCGAGTTCATGTTCGTGTCATGCTCAGTCTACACGTAACTGTTAGAAGTGTGAATAACCTTTTAGCCGTGCGTGTCTCCAGGCCCGGGGTCTGAACCTGTCGTGCGTGCGCAGCTGTGTGGTGATAGCAGAGGAGCGTCCTCGCCTCATTCTCACGCAGTCCTTCTCCAAGCTCTTTAAAGATCTCGGCCTTTCGGCGCGAGCCGTCAGCACCGCCTTCGGCTCCCGGGTCAACCTGGCCATCTGCCTGCAGGTTGGTTTCACACGGACATACACCGAGTTATCTAACCACTTACTCCCTAATTCAACTAATCCAAGGGTTGAAAAACATACTCCAGTTATTTTTGTCACATTTTTACTTACCATGTGCATGTTTCTTTATTCTACGCTACAGAAATATGTTTTTTTTTTAATCAACCACATGTATTACTGAATGATAAATGAGGCAAAAAGCAGATTTCTTACATTTCAGAGTATTAATTTTCCTCTCTGCATCCTCAGGGCACTGCTGGACCAGACCCCTCCACCGTCTATGTTGACATGAAGTCGCTGCGACACGACAGGTGAGACTGGAAACAACTGCTACTGTCACATGATCCGACATACGTGAAAACGTGCGTGGTGTGTCGGTCAGATCGAACAGAATCATTGACGGGCTGTCTTTTGGCCTCGTCCTTTAGGGTGAGGCTGGTGGAACGAGGAGCGCCACAGAGTCTTCCCCTCATGGAGTCTGGCACTGTAAGTATTGATTATTGGCTAAAAAGACTCACGCCACAGAGAGATATTGGAAGTGGTTGCATTATCTCTCAAGCTAAACTCTCCCTTTATGTTCTCCTCTTAGATCCTACCAGGAGTGAGGGTCATCATAGTCAACCCAGAGACCAGAGGACCGCTGGGAGATTCACATCTTGGGGAGGTGAGTGGATGGAGGCACAGAGGATCATCGGATGCTGACATTTTCGATTTACTGTGAAACTTACAAACTTTTTGTTTTGTGCCGGTTCAGATCTGGGTGACCAGCCCTCACAGTGCCAGTGGCTACTACACCATCTATGGGGAGGAGAGCCTGCAGGCAGATCACTTCAACACCAAACTCAGCTTTGGGGAGCCCCACACGCTGTGGGCCAGGACGGGCTACCTGGGCTTCATCAAGAGGACCGAGCTACTGGATGCAAGCGGAGGTGAGAGGACATTTGAAACGAGTGGACCTCATTCACTTCCTTTTTGCCTTTCTGTCTTGAGGGGGGGGGGGGCTATATCGATAACATAAGCTATCATTATGAATTAATATTTATATAATACAGTATATGTTTTCATATTGTCTAACCCTAGTCAGGTCCATAACTATAAATGGTCAAATACCTTTGTTCTTCTCCACAGATCGACATGATGCCTTGTTTGTGGTGGGCTCTCTTGATGAAACGTTGGAGTTAAGGGGGCTACGCTATCACCCCATCGACATCGAGACATCCGTGTCCCGAGCCCACCGCTGCATCGCAGAAAGGTGAGGTTCTACTTTCACCATTATGTTGTTCTTCTTCTCCACTCAATGAGAACGCCCGTAGCCTGTAGTTCACCCAGTAACACAGAAAGCGTGTGACTGAGCACCTCCTTCTCCTCAGTGCTGTGTTTACATGGACCAACCTGCTGGTGGTGGTGGCGGAGCTGAGCGGCTCGGAGCAGGAGGCCTTGGACCTGGTGCCCCTCGTCACAAACGTGGTCCTGGAGGAGCACCACCTCATCGTCGGGGTGGTGGTCATCGTGGACCCCGGGGTGATCCCCATCAACTCCAGAGGAGAGAAGCAGAGGATGCACCTGCGAGACTCCTTCCTGGCAGACCAACTGGACCCCATCTACGTGGCCTACAACATGTGATTCACCGACTGATAAATGCAGAAAACTGGGCCAGGCTCCGAGAACGGACGTGAGGGAGAAGGACCGCGGGGCGCATTCAGTAGAAACCCTGATGTTAAAGCTCAGATACACATTCACAACACCAAACAATGAGGGAATGCAAGTACAGTTCGAGTACTGTAACGAGAACGCGCTTCCCCTTCAGAAACCATTTCTTCTTTGCTTCCACCTGCTCAATTGCTGCAGCCCCGGTTCACTGAGATCTGCTGACGGGGCGGATATTTTCCGTCGTCCTGATAGTAAATCCACTTGTCGAATGGAGGAAATTTAATCTCCATTCTCTCCGTGCATCCCACTTCTCCCTCATGGCTCCAATATATGTTTTTAAAGATGTTTTTTTAGTTCCGTACTTTCACCCTCCTTCCATTCCTTGGTTTTCATCCTGAACCCTTCATCCCCGTGTGCTTTTTTTTTTTTTTTTTTTAACCCCCCCATTGATTCTTGAAGGCAGGATGGCGGACTGAAACTGTTGAGAGGAACTGGAACTTTCATCCTCTTGCACTTTAAGTCCTTGCACCTCTGAGTCCGCTTCCTGTCTCAAAGGGACCCCCCCCCCCCCATGTTTGCTGCTTTCATGAGAGCAAATCCACATCAGTATTAAAGAGTGCCACCAGTGAGTGCAGCCCTACGGGGGGGTGGGGGGTCCTGACAGATTACCTTCCTCTACCAGGTGCACCGTGGCTCTCCGCTCCCATCACATATTGGCAGTCAGACGTTACAAAATGTCCTAAAAAAACACACTTTGTTGGTGTGGGAAAAGAAAGACTTTCTTCTTAAACATACAAACCCGGATATTATCTTTGATGGACAGAAACATTTTGGTGTGAGTCAGTCCGTTAGATAGTTCTTATGATTGTGAAGTACTAATACAATTTCTTAAATGCACAGATTTTCAGAAGAAGAAGAAGCTATACCTGGTGTTTAGGTGCGCATGCTCATTTTGAATGCAGTCAATGACTATGCAGGCCCAAAAAAACAAAAGAAAACACCCTGTAACAAACCATGGAGTCACACAGCAGTGGGTTGGTTAGTAGTCTTAACTAAAAGGAGTGCGATTATCACAGACTAATGAGGACTGTGTGATACAAGTGAAAGCTCCAGAACAGGCGAGTGAACCGTGAGTTGATAATTTACCGGATTCCTTACTGAAGTGAGCCGCTAGCTTTCAGTCTGTGTGTAGTTTCCCGCGTTAAAGCAGAAGAGCATCTTTCACTTGTTGGCGTCAGTCGACGAGATAAACGTAGATCATCAGAAGGCAAGTCAGTGCCTTTTCATCACGGTGACATTAACGATCACGGACGCCGGTCCCACTTTGAATACATAAGATATCAAGAATGAGGACAGAACTTTGCCTTACTAAACTTGTGGAATTCAGTACTTTTTATGTTTAATCCCTCATTTTGAGCTGTACTATTAGTGTATTTAAAGGACTATTCCACCATTTTTCACTCGTGGAATCGGACGCCAGTTTATAACTCATAATACACATGTTTTAGGGGGAGGGGGTGTCTACTTCCTTTTGCAAAAACCTTTGCAGCCATGACTTTCTCATTTCATCATTACCATTTAAACCAGTTCTTTCTGAATGTCTGTAACACTGAAATAAAACGAATTAGGAATTAATCAATAAGGAACCCGTGATTTTAAAAAAATGGCCGAATCCTCCTTTATCTATAAACTCTGGAGGTAATAAATGAGGGTGATGATGTTGTCTGTATACTGTATTTTAGAGGTCAAATATTACTGGTGTTAATGTGTACATGGATATGAACTTTGTCGATAAAAACTTGACTGATCTTTCATACTTGACAGCATTTTTCTGCATTGTTAATTTAATGGTATCACATTGCAAAAGAGAGAAAAAAAAGGTTTCAGATTATTTTGGCAGGAACAATGTGCACTTTTCCAATTTCATTTTGTGTGTGTGTGCGCTTGAGGGAGGGAGTGTGTGTGTCCAGTTCAACAGTGATACTTGGATTTACTGGTGCAACAAGGTTTGTCTTTTGTAAGAAAATGATCCCAAAATAATGAACCTTTTTTTTTTTTATGTCGCCACCACTGTATTTTAATTATTTGGAATCGGATATGTTAGAGGTTTCATCAATATTTTCCTGATCTAGTCTGTCTTTAAAACGGCACAACTTCTGCAAACATTGATTTTAAAGCAGCTTTGACACGAAGCACAACACGTCAGTAAACCACTTTTCATCAGTGACGCACACTGATGACATGCAGGCGAGCCAGTATTTGGGGCACATGAGAGCTTTTGAGCTGCTGTGTGATAATTGCTTTGTTGCTACTGTTTCACTTCGACAAGTTTTAATAAAGTTTTATAATGTCATGTTGGCCTTCAAGCCTTTTTCGATAGACGTTGGTGCTATTCAATAAGGGAAAGTTTACTTTTTGTTTTTCCTCCAATGTCACAACGAAGAAGTTTTCTTCCCGAATGCCCTTTTTGTGTGAAAATAAGTCGTTCTTTTTCTATGCCAACATTTCACTCACTGCTCGGTTCTGAAATGGTTCATCACCACCAGTTTTCATCAGCTCTGAGATCTGATGAAAACCCTCTTTAACAGGCAACTCAACATGGACAAAGCAACTCGACATATCCACCATTTTAATATTTATTTTAGTCGTCCAGTTGTGAGGAACGGCGTGCGTCTCAAACCTCCAAAGTTATTCTAAGCACAAACTGTAAATGTACATGTGAGGTAATGGAATTAGGATCTTTCACACAAAAGAAAACCTCAAGGGCCCACAATGTATACCTCAACAACTGTCTGATCACTATGCATCGTCGCGCTGCAGCAAAGACATTCTGAACTAGTCAATGGTGCGATAACTTCTAACATGTCTTACTTGACAAAAAACACTGTCACACTGTCATTGGATGTGTTTCATGTCAAATAAAAAAAAAAAATCCTTTGTCAGAATTTCTTGTGCCTTCTTTCTTCTTTTCCCCTCTGAACATTTCTGGAAGCTTCAGGCAGCAGCTGCTGCATTAACAGAAAATGGCCTGTTCCCTCCACCAGGGGGCAGTCTCACTGCTTCATCCGATTGACTCCCTCTGATGTCACCACAGCAGTTTAACATATTAAACAGTTTGAACTTGAACTTCATATTTTAATAAATAATGGAAATTGTCCTTAATACTAGAAGGTATCTTTATTGATTGGCTGACAGGTTCTTCACAACATTGGTGGTTTTGCATGTTTTATTGATCCTATTTACTACAAATCAGCAACAACTGTTTGTCTGGCTGAAAATGTGACTGAGTTTGTACATGTTTGTAGTACCTTGATGCTTGAGTTATTTTTGTTTAGTTAAATTTGTCAGTTACAGATATTTGCTCCTGATGTATTAAATGTATTGTATGGTGATGATACATGCTAAATGTTTATATTTAGATAAAACCAGCATTGATTGTTGCCAGTCTCCCACGCCCTCCCACATGTCTATAATACATCCCATCTGAAGAGTCCACTTCAGATGGCTGTGAAAAACACATTTGTCTGGTATCGATTTGGTAATAAAGCAGTTATAATACTTGGCGATCCATTAATAAACATTCGTTGGTTTCTCACTTTCTAATGTGCCATGCAGTTGGCCGTTGTTAAAAAATGTTGGTCTAGACGCTCTGAAAACAGCCCGTTGAAGGGGTATTCTTATTTCATTTAAAGAGCAAAAAGACAAACTAAGTCCTGCTTGAGAAGAATAAACACACACCAGAGAGATTTAACGTCACAACCTTGCAATCTAAAGTTATTCTTATAACTTACAACTGCCTACAGCTTAAAGCCTATTTATAAACCATCAAACCCTTTATTAAGGAGGCCTTAATAGAAAGTAACCAATAATACTACGCATAAATAAATTCATTTTCAATGTGAAACAATTCCATTTGTTCAGATTTGAATTCTGCATGGCTGAAAACATCTAACGAGATTGATGTTTATGTATATTTATGTGTGAATGTTTTAGAGCAGCATCAGGGCAGCACAGAGCAGATCCACGATCAGTCTCGTGTTCAGTCTGTGTAGCGGACGCTGATCCTGTCTGACCCGTCTTCAGCCAACCTGCAGGTTCTGGCGTACACCCCCGGCCTGCGAGGAAGTCCGCACATGTCCCCCAAGCTCGTCACTCCGACCACATAAAAGCTGTCCTCGTCCTCGCTGTAGCACTGCAGGGGGCCGCCGCTGTCACCCTGAGGCGCACGCGCACACGCACACGCACACGCACACAGTTGAAATGAAACCTGCAGCCAGTTTAAAAAACATTGAAAGTATCGTCACCTGACAGGAATCAGACGCCCCGCTCTCCAGCCCCGGCGCAGATCATGTTTTCAGTGATCAAGCCATCGTACCAGGTGACCAGGTTACAAGTTCTCCTGTCAATAAGCTCCACCTCAGCTTCCTGCAATCTGTTCATCATCCAACCAGCAGTTTACCAAGATAGTACTTTAGGCAACAATATATCTATTTACCATTCATAAGCAGTCTATGAGTATTTTCTAAATGACAATATATACAAGCAGATACAACTATGACTCCGCTTGTGAGCACCAGCACATGGACGCTGGTGTAAAAACAGATGAATAACAATATTGTTAAACACAGTTGAAATAATCTAAAATGTCTTCATAGGAGAAGTTACAATGCTGCACATTAATACAACACTTACAATGACCTTATATCTGCTTACAACTACATTACAGTTAAAAAAACATTCATTTAATGTGTGTACACTACTGCAGCTGTACAAAATCTGCAGTTGAAAATGTTGGTACGTCATTAATAAAGAGTCACAGGGTTTTCACTCTAAAATAAGATGTCGACCCTTTATGTTTCAAATGTCTTTGGTTTATCAAGAAGTTGTTTTTGGGACCGCATGTTCTGCAGCTTTCTTATAGAAGAAGGATAATTTAAAATGATTACTGATCTACAAAACATCAATAAAGGATTAAATAATCTGTAATAAAGACTTGATAAAAGGCATTTGTCTACATAATGAAATTGCTTTTTAACAACTGTCCTCACTGATTACTTTAACTTGAGTTCATATTTATATAATTATGGTAACTTTCAAACCTTTGTAATCGTGCTAATATTAGCCAGCTCTACGGAGACAGAAAATGGAACTGATGAAGTCCGGTGGCAAGTTTTGGGGATAAAACAGTTGTACAAAGCCTCCTGTGGCTCCAAAGGGAGCTGCACAAATGCACAAAAAAAAGATTTAGATTCCAAAGGACGTCTTGGTTGAGTAAAGGTTAATGTGTCTTGGTTGAGTAAAGGTTAATGTGTCTTGGTTCAGTAAAGGTTAATGTGTCTCCTTCCCAGTCAATCTGTGTTACTCACAGAAGCCGGCAAGTTTTTAAACCAACCTCAGTAATAGGTGCTCCCCCATCCAGTGATGAAACAGTGGCTGAAGTTGAGGATGAACTCGTGAGTCACGTTATGAGGAGTGCAGACAGGCTGGACGTGGTCAGTGAAGTTGAAAGGAGAACTGAGGATCAGGAGTGTCACGTCGTTGTCAGATGTGACGTCATCGTAGTCCTCGTGCATTATGACTTTACTGATGGAGCGGATCTGGGTTTGATGTCCTGGAGCGGCTAACACATGAAGTCCTGCCACCACACGGAAATCGCTGGTACTTCTGGACACAGAACAGAATACATCTGACTGTTTATGATTTTACAAACTAAGCCAGCTGTCAAACAAACTGTGAACTGCCATCCTTTTAATGTAAAATGTTTGTACTGTACTGTACCTCTTGTTCATGTGTGGTGTGAAAGGAGATGAAAAACAACTGGTATTTGACAATATATGTTTAACATCTTGATGATGTTACACACTTACACTCTCTAACACGCACGTTGAGAGAAGGACAAAATGTCAAACATGAACACTTCTGTAAAAAGAAAAAAGTAAATAAATGGAAATCACACTGCTACAACGCTGGGTGAAACTAGGCCGAATCCCAGCAGCATGTCTTAGTCTGAAACTCTAACTGTGCAGTTTGTTCCAGGTCATTTGTGATGTGTACACCAGCTTCTGTCTGCCTGTCATTACATTTAACGCACGTTTTATTGCTTCTTCACAAAAACATCACTGTTAAAAATACTGAGCTTGAATCTGTCTCAAAATAACACAATTAGACACGTGCTCACATCGACCTCTGGTTACATCCAGGACACACATCAAATCAAGATGAACCTTCACGTGCGATGTGTGCGTCACATCCGTGTTCCCTAAGTTTTTAATCTTGTGACCATTGTTCCTTGTAGATTTGTCTGTGTTTAATATTTGTTATCATGACCTCCAGAATGAGTTATATATGTGACTGTGTGCAGGTCAGTCAGAGCAGGTTGTACTCGCAGGTATTTGTGGAAGCAGTGTGTTGCAGTGAGCACCGCGAGGCTGCTGACAATCGTCCCGCCGCAGTGGTGCTTCGACTGGATCTGGATGCTGACCTGCCAAGGCCAAGCCCCGACAGGAGCCTCCCGGTCCCCCACTAGACGAGACGTACCAGGGGGGGCGACCAGGGGCCGCTGCCCACAGCCTCACAAACACAAAAATGAATTCCATGTAATATTTGAAATTACATCCTGGTTTTTACTTAGTTGGGTGCAGTGGTGTGATGGTAGCTGCATTTGAGGTGTGTGAGCCTTCTGACAGAGAATGACTAAATTAGTTCTGATACAATTAGCCAATTAATCAAGTAGTCCATCAACAGAAAATAAATCCACAGCAAGGAAGAAAATGCCCCAAATTCTCCAGTTTCAGTTTCTCAAATGTGATAATTCACTCATCATCATTATAAAAAATATATCTTTATTTTTTAGACTGTTTGTCAGACACAACAAGGAATTTAAATACATGAATTGAAGTTGTGATGATGCGATTGCCTTTTAATAAAAGTGGCTGTACATACCAGAAACCAAAAAAAGATGACGCAAATATGGGCACTTCCACACGGGTAAACTCTGTATTTTTTAGTTTAATGACACAAATTAATATTCTTGTTTCTCACTTTGGCTCTGTCGCGGACAACAAGCAGGAAACAACAAACATGGCTCCTGTCTGGTATGTTTACCTCTTGTTTTACTTTCGACCTACAACCTTTCAACATGCAGCTAGCGTAACACTGGCACAAGTACAGTCATACAACCAGCACAATAATATGTAGCTAGGCTAACTAGCTCTACTGTACGTTTGCTAACATTAGCTTCCATTAGCTACCAACAAGGCTGTCAAGTTTTCCTTTTATATTTGGATGTTATGTTCATTATATTTTTTAAAGTGTCATTTAAATGTTAAGGTGAGTTACATTATGGACAATGTGACATCTTGACCAGCTTCATCCATCTGCCTGACAACCAAGTGACCATGGCAGCATAGTATTACACATTCTGTAAGCTAGCTAACGTTAGCTGTTAGCTACTCTGTAACTGTCGCACTTTAACAACGTAGCTGAATACGTCATTTAAATGAAAATAACGTTATTAGTTTAAAGGCTACAGGATGTATTCCCCCCTGGTGTACTCACTGTCCTGTGGTGAAGTCTATGCACTCAAACACAGAGCAGTCGCAAACAGCACAAGCGCTTTAAACTCCATTTAGTTTAACCTAAACAAAAACAAATTATTTCTGTTCTTTCCGGTTAATGACGTCATGGGCAGGCGCGTCAAAAAGTGAAATAAACTTCGTAGAGATCCTGACAAAATACAACTTTCCAAATATATAGCAATATAACTATTTTATTGTAGCTCATTATTTTATTGGCTACGAGCGCCCCCCTTTTGGGGGGCTCTCGGGCTCAGGACCGCTGAAAATATTGTTCGGAAAATAGCCTTATTGTTCGCCAGTATTGTGGATCTGTCCAGTTTTATTTCCGGATTAAACAGCAACGTATGGGCAACACTATCATATAAGTCACTTTTTACACACTCCAAACACAACTATAGACTACTAGTATAAGCATCTAGAAAATGTGTCATGAAATCCTGGGCAGAAATCGGCGTTATGTCTGCCTCAAATCAATATTTTCACCACGAAGCTAGCAGCTAGCCGGGTAATCCGGACATCGTTTAGCATTAGCATCACGCAGAGAGAACGCGTACATACCATCGGTTCTTCTCTCCGTGGACGCACCACAACGCTGTGACTGGACAATGGTCCAATGCCACTGGTCTTCACCGGAAGAAATCCATGGTTTTTGGTCAGGTTTTATGAAATATTAGTACAAAAACATCGAAAATGCTCCGGTTCAGAGCTACCGTCATGGCCGCGAAGTGCATCCTGTTTACAGCCGAGCTGTTTCCTGTGGAAGGGGGGCCAACCCACCTCGGGCCAGCGGTCAGACTTTCGGCCAATGGAATTTTAGCATGGGGAGACGCGGCACTTCTTGCAACTTTACTGGCTGAAACTTATGTCAATCAACACCAAATTCGACACACGCCTTCCTGAGACTCTGACGCGTCGAAGGAGGGCTTATTGACTGAAATCGACCGATGATAGGCTGAGCTACAGCGCCATACACACACAGGGACTGAGAAAATCCTATAGATGACAGCCAGAAACAGGCTCTGATGATGTTAGGAATCTCAAAATGATTCCTAACATCTGTATTTGGATGGATTGAATAATATGAGTGATAAAAAAAGTGAAATATATAGTTATATAGTATATAAAATTTGAATAGAGCATGAGAGAGAAATGAGCATTCGGCTTGAAATTCTGTACTCAGACCTCCTATTATGCTGGCCTGCTTCACTCAATCGAAGTAAAATTAGCTTAGAGAGACCACAACCCTGTTGTGCTATGACACAGGAGTATTATTTGTAGGCTTCACTCTGCAATAATTCCAAAAAAATGTTCAATGAAAATGCTTTTTTTTCAGGCGAACCTGGAACTTTTTCAACTTGAGCTGTGCCATAAGTGTATCAGTTATTAACCAGTAACATATACTCAATATTTACACAATTGAACACATCTCACAAGTGTTACCTGTATAGACCATCAAAATTATTAAAATAGACCTTGTAGTTTGGGTAGTTTACTCTCTTGAGTATGAGTATGCAATTTTCGAGCAGAGGGCTAAAAATAGGGCTAGTAGTTAAAAGGGTATAAAAAATACTATCCCAACAGAAACATCTACAGAATTACAAATCTCAGTTAATTTTTATTCAGTTAGACTTTTCATTAATTTAAAACACTCACACACGCGCGCACGTGCACACGCGCACACACGCACACAAACACAAGAACAAAAGACAGGTGGCAGGTTAATAAATTAAAAGCTGCCTATTTGCATATTAATTTGTTATATTAAAGAGCAGAGTGATGCAGAGGCTAAAACATAAAATAGTAGGCAATTACTTATAGTCAAATTCAAATTATAGTTAACATTGTTATAAATGCACTTGACAAAGTACACGTTTATTCTTATTTGCAGTCGCTTACATGTAATATGATTTTAATTTTGATGTATTCAAAGGTATCTCGTGGAAGTTGTCTCGACAACAAAATGCTTTACAAACTCACCACACTGAACGCAAAGTGAGCCGATGCGTTTTGTCAGAAAGAACCTCGCGCATTTCTGTGCACAGTCTCATCCACGCTCAGAGATGGTGAACCAACACGCTGAGTTTTAGAGGCTGCCGGCCTAAATTACCTTTACGTTTTTCACGAAACGTTCTTGCCGACACTCCCTTACATTCTGCTGAGAGTCATCAATTATGCAGGGAATCAGCTCGCGCTGAGGGGGAAGATAGCAGCAGCAATATGGCGACAACCGCGGTTTCTCCACAATCTTTTCCACATCTGCACTTCTGCAACGGCTTTCCTGATTTATTGTAACGCATACAAAGTGAGTATCCTTTATTCATAGTCGTTTCACAAAACGGTTCATATGTTTTTTTTCGGTGACAATTTCTCGCTGTCGGTATCCTTGCGTAAATGTCGCAGAGCTGCACACTGCCCCGCATCTTCTTCTTTTTTTGGGGGGGGGGGGGGGGGGAGTCTGCGCGTGCTGAGCATCTATCCGCTGGACCACAGCACGAATGCATACACGTATCAAACAGTTGATGTCGACCGCAAAGGAATTTATTGGATTCACTATTTTGTCGAGCATCAGGGGCATTGCTTAGACCTTTGATAGAGAACATGTCTGGTAGGTTAGGCTTCAGGTAGGGTGCCGTCTGGCCGTCTGACTGCTCCAGCCCCCCCAGCCCCCCAAAATAAGCCACAAAACTAAAGATTTTTTCTTCTTCATATTTTGGTCTCTATTTTTGGTTTTATATAGTCTACCCTCTGGATTACAGCATGGTGCTCTTGAAACACCATAAGGCTTCGATGCTATGTGAGTAGCCCGATCCTTCCTTCCACCATCAGTTACCAAGAAATGTACATTCCTCCAGGTGATATTTAGCGTGGCAGCATCGTAACTGTTCTCTAATGGTCTTATTTGTAATGTTCAACCTCATTTTTTAGACCGTGTGTGTGTGTTTTTTTATGCCGGTGTTTTGCTCCATACTCTGGGGTGTCTTGTGCACAGATAGAGCCGACATGGCTTTGCGGGTGTGGTGCGAATCCTTTCAAGGCAACGCGCAAAAAAACGCACCGAATATCTCCGAAAGAATCTTATTTGGCTTCTTTTTTGTTTGTTTGCTGAATAACAAGAGCGAGACAATGCTTTGATTTATTTGGATACATCGAGATCACACTTGTGACTTTGACAAATCCACCGTTGCGTTTACCACAGCGTGACAATTTCAACATACAAACCACCCACTGCAGCAATATTGCTTTGGCAAATTTGGTTTGAACTACATTAAGAAACAAAGGCACGCAATGGTGTCCACGGGCCCTCCCTCCTAATTAGCCCACCCGGTTCGGTTAACAAGTCTGTATCCCTGCGTCTCTGAAGATGAGAACTGAAAAGATGCTAAAAATAATAATATGTGCCTGTTTGCGCGTGAATGTAAGCAATGTGCAACCCACGAGACTGAGACACACCAAAGACGAGTGTTGTCACCATGACTTACTGACAGTGAGCAGAATGGAAGGATAAGCTGCAGGCCTATACGGGCGTCGAGGGGAGAGCTCAGCTAGAAGGTTTACATTTTTGGCAAAACGGTTTTCCAGTCAGAGCGGATGTGTTTCTCTCTCTCTATCAACCCTGCGTGTAATGCATTCGTGCATATGCATGTGTGTGCGTGCGCGCGCGCGCTCGTGTGGTGCTGAAGTGGACAGCGCCAGCAGAGCAACAGAAGGCTCAGACACTGCGAGGTTCCGGGGTCCATTTTAAAACACACGTCTTGGCTCCTTGGCTGCATGTTTTCATGTGTTTTGTTTCCACTGATATGGAGTGGAGTCTTTGCTGTGTGATATCTGCTCTACATGTCGCGCATGTTTAATTATGTTGTGTTATGCAAGCAGGAAAGTGACAGGCCTTGTGATTCAGATACGGGTGATTGTTGCATCCCTCCATCACCTTAGGCTGAAAAACAAAGGTCTGTGTGTAAGGACAAGGGGATTAATTAAGGGTGAAATAGGATGTTGAAAATGTCCCACAAAATCAAATAGCAGCCATCTTTGAAATATTCAATGACTAAGTTCAGGTGTGGCTGTGTTCCCACTGAACTCCTCTCAGCTCTCTCGTCTTTCCTCCAGCACTGCCTCACATTAGTATATTGACCCTGAAATGTCCTGCAGCTTGAACAGTTGTCATGTAACCATCATACCCTTTTACATCTAAGTGTGCTGGGAAAAGGCTCCACTCAGTTATACATCCATTCGGTACGCTGGGGCTTCTGTTAGCGTTTCAACAGCTATTCAAAAAACCCTTCAATGGGTCTTTATTGTCAGAGCTTAAAAGCAGAACCTATACATTGTTTCAAACATTGGGGAGGAAATGTTGGCTAATAATTGGTTACACCTTTACTATATGTTGTTGTTGCCTCAACATAAAACCTGGCATAACTGATGAATGTCTCAGATATGTAGAATACATACATTTTGCTTTTATTCTAAGTCCCTGTAAGAGCTTAAGATTCACATCAAAACAAAAATATCTAACAAAGAAGAAAATATAGCAACAAGGAACATGACTACGTCATTCTTCCCAAGTCACTGAGCATATGCTAAGCTGCCGGTTAGATATATCATATCATGTATCACATGTATCAGTGTTCTGGTTTTTCTCTGTTGATGTTGACGGATCATTAAACAAAAAGTCTGTTCATGTTTTACGTTGACCTTAACTGAGGTAAAGGTGAAGGGAGGAGGAGACTGTAGGATGACATAATATCATGAAAAAGATATTCCACTTTACTATAACTACCATAGCTTTTCGCTTTTGGTAGCCTGTTATTTAAAGAGTGAGCGAGACATTATGAATACTTGTCCATAGGTGGCGAGTGTTGGAGATGGATTGAAGTGAACATTCCACTCATTGGCTGCTGAGCACTTCTCGTGGATTGACAAATGTACAAAGATTGTAGAGAACACTATCATGGTGTTCTCAACTACCCAATCAGGATGTCTCTTTGTTGTAGTCCTTTGCTCTGGGCTGCTATTTATCGCCTGGGTTTTCTTATCGACATTCTTTTGGATAAAGGAAAACCAAGCAATTGAATAAATGGGAACAGCCACTTTTTGTAGTACTTTAGGTTATCTATAGTCATTTTGTTAATATTCTGAAACAAGTGGGATGACATATTTTGCATATACATATTTTGGATTTTCTCTCCTTTTAACACCAAAACTTCATAACCAAAGCTGTAAGCGTGTTTGTGTAAACATGGATGCCTTTGTTTGTGACCTGCCCTCATGCATTTGGTCACTTGTTCCAAACATCTTCCTGTGCTCCAAGAAAACATTTTATAGCTAAATTTAGATGATAGTGTTCACTTGTTCAACATCCCAGGTGATAGGTCTTAAAAAAAATATTGTGGAATTT